GCTTTGATCTGTAGGACCAGAGAGAGAGAAGATGGGAAAAAACTCTTGAAATTATTGGATAAGATCAAACCTGATAAGACCCCCATGTATGTAATAGAAAATAAGGAAAAAAAGAAGTCACAATTATTGCTGGAAAAGATGCATAAGAACAGAATTCTACTGATAAGGGTACTTTCATTATAATATCTGTGCTCACCCCTCTTGGCACTACAGCTGGTTGACAGGAGGTTGTTTGAATGAATATGAGCAAGATGGCGCTGCTCGAGTCTTGGAAGACAAATGCAGAGACTGGGAGAATGAAGACCTTAGGCCCTCTGTAGGTGAGGATCAGGTCTGAGATCATCTTAGGAACCTGAATGTGCACAAGTCCATGGGACCTGATGAAACCATTTGTGTGCCCTGAGGGAGCTGGGAAATGAAGTTGCTAAGCCACCGTCTATCATAGTTGAAAAATCATGGCAGTCAGGGTGAAGTTCCTGAAGACTGGAAAAAAGGAAATATAGACCCCATATTCAAGAAGGGGAAAAAGGATGACCCAGGGAATTACAGACCAGTCAGTCTCACCTCTGTGCCTGGCAAAATCTTGGAGCAGATTCTCCTGGAAGGCATGCTAAGGCACATGAAAAACAACAAGGTGCTTGGTGACAGCCAGCATGGCTTCACTAAGGGGAAATCCTGCCTGACCAAATTGGTGGCCTTCTATAATGGGGCTACAGAACTGATGGACAGGGGTAGAGCAGTTGAAATCATCTACCTGGACTTGTGCAAAGCGTTCAACCCTGTCCTGCACAACATCCTTGTCTTTAAACTGGAGAGACATCAATCTGATGAATGTACCAGTTGGTGGATAAGGAATTGTCTGGATGGCCACACAGAGAGTTGTGGTCAATGGCTCAATGTCCAACTGGAGACTGGTAATGAGTGGTGTTGCTCAGAGATCAGCATGATCAGGGGGCTGTAGCACCTCCCATATGAAGGCAGGCTGCAAAATTGGGGCTGTTCAGCCTGGAGAAGAGAAGGCTGCATGGAGACCTCATAGCAGCCTTCCAAAATCTGGACAGGGCCTACAAAGGTGCCAGAGAGGGACTCTTCATCAGGGGCTGTAGCAATAATACAAGGGGTAGTGGGTTTAAACTTAAACAGGGGAAGTTCAGGTTAGATATAAGGAAGAAGCTCTTTACTCTGAGGGTGGTGAGGCACTGGAACAGGTTGCCCAAGGAAGTGGTAAATGCTGGGCAGTGCTCAAGGTCAGGCTGGACAGAGCCTTAGCTGACATGGTCTAATGTGAGGTGTCCCTTCCCATGGCAGGGGGTTGGAACTGGATGACCTGAAGGTCCTTTCCAACCCTAGCCATTCTATGATTCTATGACTGTGGTATTGCCTGTTTACGTACTTTCAAGGTAACTAAATGCTAAAAATCAGCACCTTCATTAGTAAATGGAAGTGACCCCTCCCCATAAGTGAATATATCACAGAAAACTGTTATTTCTTCTTCGATTCCTCCTTTAGTCTTTTCCAGATTAGCTCTAGGTGGATTTAAATTGAAGTCTCTCTTGTTAGCAGGCACGCATCTATTTATATTTGATTAATGTCTTACAAATTATCTGCTTCTTCACTGCCAAGAAAACTTGTTAGTAAAACAGAACTAGAAGGGGAAAAAACAGGCAGTAGAAAACATCTATTTTTAAAGTGTTTTCATTTTACTTAAACTGCTGTGAGATGAGCTACCATTCTTGAAGAACGGCCTCTTTTACTGTCTCATTTTGACACATCTGGAAAACTCTGTATTTATGCCACAAAATGGGCTCAGAGGATGTGTTAGCTTAGCTGGAGTTGCTCAGCTACTTACCAGTGTTGCAAATACTGTTTAAAAGTGAAGTTTGTATGAATCTTTCAGATTTCTCAACCTTCAGTGTTATATATGTGTGTGTATATATAAGTATGTATGTTTGTTTGTTTTGACCTGGTACAGCATAATACTGCAGTGTCTTAGGCTAATCTAAGTCTCATCTTGATACAACTGTGCCAAAACTGGAATGTAAAGTCTGTGTTTCCTTATTGCTGAGAACCTGGGCAGCAAAAAATTGTGTTCTTTGTAATAAAATAGTAAGGCCAACTCCATCTGCAAAAACCTCATGCAAACCAACCTTTTTCTGTAATTTATGGTTACTGCAATGTACATATTCCATGTACATATTCCACATTTATGCCTTGGCATTTTTTTGATCTATAAGAATTATGTCAGTGTCCTCTGAATGCATGTCTAACTGTAAAAAGACTCCCCTTTTTGCTTGTATCCTGAATTTCGTGTGTTATTGTACACTAAGTAATTCTTCTGAGTCTTGCTTTGGTGCTCTTTTCAGTAGCTCTAAAAACACCTGATTCACCATTGCTTTCTGACTTCATTTGTACCAGTGGAAGAGTAAGAAAAGAACAGACCCTCAGGTGCTCTGCTTTTGTGTGACTGAGGTGCACAATAACCATGATTCAGGCCTTTCTGCAGATCCTCTCATTAACGTTGCTACCATTTTTACTTGAAAACCCAGCAAACTTCAGCTGGTTTTGTCACTCCTGAACAAGTGGATGTCCTGAACATTTGGTACTGATTTACAGGCCATTCTGTCCACTCCTGTTTCTACCATGAGAAAGACAATCCTGACACATAGAATTTTAATGTTACAGTTTTTGACTGGAGGAAGGATTACTCTGCATAACTTTGCTTTCGTTGTAGTGCTTCGCAGCTCCAAAATACTTTTTGTCCAAGGACTTCTGGTACTATGCAGCACTGCATATGCCTCCTAACCTCAAGTGGAGCAAGGTGTCTGCCATTTCATTTTTATGTATCAGGAAACTGGAGCATTTAGTAGAAGGGAACAAGTCATGGTGGCCACACTAATAAGTAAACCACAGCTTGGTTAAATCCTAGTCCTCCGTGGCTAAAAGTGAGTATGTTGGTATAAGACACCATGTAACATGCATGGGATCAGTTGTTTTCCCTTCACCACATACAGTGTGTCTGAAATCCTGCTATTATGAACATGTGTCCACATCTCTTAAGGAAGCTAAATCATCCTTTAGTATTTTAGCAAATTGTCCAAAATAACTCCAGAAGAAGAGGGAATAAGAAGTCAAGCCAGGTTTTATATTCTCATGTTGGTTTTCATCTTGGAACTCCAGTGGCAGTTTTCTCCATGTTTGGATTGGATTAACCTTATTTTTGGCATTATATTGCTAATCCTATTTAAATATTTCTGTTCAGGCAGATGCAGAAAACAATGTACAATGTGCACATACAAAAAGAAAAAAATAAGTGTAGGGATCATCTCAGTTTTGGAACTGAAAGTATCTATGAAACATGGTTTAGCAGCCTTCCAGTATCTGAAGGGGGCCTGTAGGGATGCTGGGGAGGGCCTCTTCATTAGGGACTGTAGTGATAGGACAAGGGGTAATGGGTTAAAACTTAAACAGGGGAAGTTTAGATTGGATATAAGGAAGAAATTCTTTCCTGTTGGGGTGGTGAGGCACTGGAATAGGTTGCCCAAGGAGGTTGTGAATGCTCCATCCCTGGCAGTGTTCAAGGCCAGGTTGGATGAGGCCTTGGGTGATATGTTTAGAGCGAGGTGTCCCTGCCCATGGCAGGGGGGTTGGAACTTGATGATTTAAGGTCCTTTCCAACCCTACCTATTCTATGATTCTATGGCTACCCGGGTACTAAATGCAGAGCTTCCCAGATCGGATGAGTGCCTCATGAGAGTCTGACATTACACTCTAAAAGAAATGCCTGTGCTTTAGTGGAAGCATTAGTACTGTTTACATGCTGGTTAGATATTAACCAGCTCAGGCAATATCCCTTCTGTATATTAGAAAGATAACTTCTGAGACCTTATTTCCTGTCTTGGCAATGTCCTAATCTGAAAATAGATCACATTTCTGGGTTAAAGAAGATGCTTGATTTGGAAAACTAATTTGAAAGTATGCGACTTCCTGTGACACCCACATTCCTTTTCCAGGATAAATACAGAATTTACACTACCACTGTAATTTATCCACAGTAAGATATCTAGTAAGTTCCAGGTTTCTTGTGGAACTATTGAATTTTGAGTTTATTTAAAGCAGAGAATATCTGCAATAAATATGCCAGAGTCAATTGTATTAATCCAGGCTTGCATCAATATTACTGGAAACAAATCTAAGTTTATATTAAATAAATTGAGAGTCTATATGATCTAGGAGTCTAAAATGTTGCAATTACACTGCCTGTATTTGTATTCTGTTTATAGCAGCCAATAACACATATACTCTTTGTTCAAGAGCTTTCCAGTGTGGATTTATGTAGGTAATTTTGTCTCAGGTTGTTTGGTGTTTGACATAAATCCTTGATTTCTGGAGTAAACTGATAATACAGCTATCTATTTTTTAACCTTAATTTTTTGTGAATGAAATTCTGAGCATGGAAAATCAAACCCATGAATTATTGATACATAACATTTAATTCTGGTTTGTTTTTTTTTTTTTTACAGAAAGAAAGTGTTTATTTTCATTTTAGTTTTGGTCATGCTTGTTGAATGCTTGATGTTGGTGAGCAGTGTAGGTGTATGGATATGTACGGACACGTGATATGGATATATGAATGTGCATTTTTTTCTTACACATTGAAGCTGAACTGGAGTGTACTGGAGCTTTTCTGGAGCTCAGGGCTGTTCTTCCAGCCTTTGTTTCTTAGCAGTTAGTAACTGCCTAGTGCATGGATAATGGGAAGCACAGTTTTCTGGGGCCAGAGGTAGAGGTTCACAATTACCCAGGCATGGCTCTCACTAACAGGGAGGGAAGGTGGTATTCTACCTAACAAGCTCAAAGAAGGCAGAAAGAGGTATATCAGATGACACCAGCACAATCACTCTGCTGTTTACAAGGTATGTGACTGATCCAGAAATCCACTAAAAAATATTTTTTCCTTTTTTTTTTCTTTTTTTATTTCTTTTTTTATTTCCTGTTTCTAGAAAAAGCAAGTGAGTCAAACAAAGATCCGGGTGATCTCTACCATTGTCTTCATCCTGGCAGGCTGCGTTGTCTTTGTGACCATTCCTGCAGTTATCTTCAAACACATCGAGGGATGGACAGCCTTGGAGTCCACCTACTTTGTGGTTGTCACTCTGACTACTGTTGGCTTCGGTGACTTTGTAGCAGGTGAGCAGCTTCCAGCCTAGTCACTGTGCATGAGAGCATTGGTTCTTAGAATTGGTTTTCTGCTGTAGAGAGGAGGCTTTTCATAATGTATTATATTCCAGGTGTTTCTGTTGGGGTTACTGTGCAATAGGACACCAGGTTGATTTAAGATCCAGGTGCTTTGGCATCTGCAGATTGCAAGCTTTCAGCAGTGTAAATAATGGGAGCATGGGAAGCCCTGGTTATCCTTTATGGGGCAATGAATTATGCACAAGTCAAATTACTCTCCCATTGGATTCAAGATTTGTATTAGTCCATTAGGGCTCAATCTGAGCCTGACTGCAGAAGGAAGTAGCCAAAATGATGAATGAATGAATGAAGCTGTTACAAAGCAGGGCTGAGCCATAGGGCTGGCAAAATCTTATTGAACACAATAGTAGGCTGCTACTACAGGAGCTGCAGCTTTTCAGAAACTACATTTCTAACCTTGGCAGAAAGTCTGACATTGCAGTTGCCTTGCTAAGGAAGACTTGTGTAGGAAGAGAAGGACTAATGGGATATGCATCTCAGTGCTAGGAGGATACTCTCCAAGATTAATATAGTGCTAGCAGGAGCTATAAATACCCATGCTTATCAGTTTCCAAAGAGGGAGTCAAGATTGTTGGCTGAAAAGATGAGCTTTCCCACCCCCCCACAACTGCTTTGCTAATGACAAGTTGGTTAAATAAATGGATTTTTTTTTCCGCATTACTGCATGACCTCTACTTTTCATTCCTGTTAGTGGTCCTAATTAAAGGCATTAAGATCCCCGTGTTATAGCCATATTACACTACTGTTTTGTTACATCCTATCAGTGAAATACAAATGGGTTAAAAACATCAAATGGAATTACAGGGATATGTAGTTTTCTTTGCTGAAGAGCTGCAGACAAGTCATTTTGTAGAGAAGACTATAATTCTTTTTTATGACATAGTGGTATAGAAGACATGAATTAGTGAGGAAAAAAAGGCATTGAACAAAGAAGGCCCCAGATATGAAAAAGAGGTGTTTTACAAGCATTCAGATGCAGAAATCATTGAGCTTGGTCCATTTTAACCTCTTAAATGTGACGAGAAGCTCACTAATATTCTGTAATTGTGGTACCACAGTGTGAAATAAAATGAATTTACAACATTTTTCTGAAGCATATCACACTTCAGTATTGGTGGTTTCTTTTTTAAAAATATAATAGTAAAAATAAAACAGCAACCAAACTCTGAACATTAAATGGTTATATCCAGCAAGATTAGGAGAATATGATTCACAGCTGGGGGGCTACTAACAACCAGGATTTTTCAAAAATCAAATAGATGATCTTGAATAAGAAAACTTCAGAGGCAATCTCATGATAAGAGTTTAAGGCAGGTGATCACCAGGAGATTTGGGTTTTATTGCTGGCTTTGGGACAGATTTTCTGTCACTTTTATTTTCTGTCACTTTAATCTCTCAGTACCTCTGTCTCTTCAACATCAAATAAAAAATATTACATTGTATTGGGTAAAACAGCATCAATGGAACTATACTGATTTATTCCACCTAGAATATGTTCCAGCTCTTGGCAGACTGAAAGGTTTTTGTACTACTGATGGAGATAAAATTGTGGATGGAGCCTGAAAAAACCCAGAATATCTGATAGGCTGAAAAAAGTGGTCTCATACTTTCTCAGCTGCCTGATTACTCTGTAAGATAGACCTAGACAATCTGTTTCATAGCAGGCTTCCTCGGGGACACATATGATCAGAAGAGCCTCATTGTGCTGTAGCAACAGCAGCTCCCACCTCCCATTGTTTCTCACTCTTAAAGACTGGAAAAAAGAAAGTGATTCATGAAGTCTATGGGGAGAGATTATCATCAAACCCAGTATTTGGGTCCCTGCCACTTCTTAAATGTCTGACTTTCCATGGGGATGTTCGAACACCGTATGTACACTCATACTGAGTCTGGATAAAATTACAGAGTCAGGAATGTCTCAGATTGCAGAAAGCTCTGAGGAAAATGCTGAACTGTGTTGTCTGGTGATGGAGGGGAAATCCTAGAATCCCTCTGTAGTCATACAGAAGTACATCTTGATGTCTAGCTCTTGTCTAACCAAGGCTAGAGTCCAGGAAATACGCAATCCTCTTCCTGAGTCCTCTGGTAGGCTTGCTCTTCAGGCAGAGGTTTTACACAGGTACCACCAAGGTAGTGTTTGTTCTCCTGCACTGTGCCCATGGGGCTGAGCAGACTCTTTGCTGCTTGTTCACTTCAGCTCAGGGCTGTGCCTGCTTCTCACTGGCTCTCATTCTTGCACTGTGCATAGCACTGTGATAGGGCTGGGAGTCTCAAATGTGAGGTTGTATTTGATTTCTTTTGAAAAAGCTTACTCTGCTCTGTGGTAGGCAGCAGTGTGGCTGCTACTGCATTTATTTGAGGCTCTTCGTAGCTCTTTAGATTTGCCAGCTCATCCCAAGACTTGCATGAAGACCATATAGGGTATTTGTTGCTTCATTTGATCTATATCTCCTCTCAAGTCACTGCTCAGAGAATACAACCCTATAACTGATATCCAAGCAGACAGTATATCCTTATTCTCAGGGCTGATGCAGAGTTGGCTTCCTGTCAGGCATCCTGATTTGGAGAGGAAGCTGCTTTTCTTTCTCCTGCATATAGGTCTCTCAGTCCTGAGGCTAAACCCATAAAATATGGAACTATAACCTGAGGGAGTTGAACTGTAAGGTTTCTCAGCTACCAGGCTGCAGGCAGTTTAGAATAAGGAAGGCTAGCTGTATTAAACTTTTTCATTGGGAATGTGTTCATGGTGTTGCAAGTCTATCAAAGCAGGAATTTCAGACTTGCTTCAGAGTATGTGCAATCGAAGAAAAGTGTTTACTAGGTGCTCTGGCAGGTCTCATAGAAGCAGAACAATAGGTAATTTTGACAAGTCTTAAACTGAGAACAGACTGTTCCTCCCATCTGACAGGCCTCTTGGCTATTATTAGAACTACAGTGATGTTGGCAAGAGTCAAGAAATACTTCCAGACATTTCTCAGAATTGCAGTTATTTTGTCATAATTTTGGCATCTCACGATTCCTAAGCATAAGTATATGCTTATTTCAGGAGGAAATTCTAACATCCATTACCGGGAGTGGTATAAACCCTTAGTGTGGTTTTGGATCCTTGTTGGCCTTGCCTATTTTGCTGCTGTCCTGAGTATGATTGGAGACTGGCTAAGGGTCCTGTCCAAGAAGACAAAAGAAGAGGTATGACTAGTCATTTTTCAGTGATTTTTCATTTTATGAGAGCTTTAAGTGCCTGATTCCTGCTTGTCCTAAAGAAGGATGCCTCTCTGCATGACCAGTGCTCAATATTCCCCAGGGTTTACTTCACTGGCTGCCTTTGGTATCCAGTTCGCTCTGATCTTTAGGGAGGAAGAGAAGCAACAGAAGCAACCTAGGTTGTTCCACCTCTATCACTACTACCAAATACACAGAACACATCAGTAAGATTGCAGTTATCAAATAAGAAAGGCCAGTCTTCACTCTGAAACTAGCTACAAAATTGTGATAAAAACGTTAATGTTCTCCCCTTAAAAATTGGAAAAGTGTGGGTTTTGAAGACATTAATTGTCTCTCTTCATTAAGAAACAAGAATCTGCCTTCAAAACAGTGATTTAGATTGAGTTTTTCTACTTTTCCTTATGCAGGGAATATGGTTCTGAATAAAGGTTTAGATTCAGGCCTCTGAGTACTGTACTATGCAAAATTGAAGAAACTGAGTAGTCAGCATTGGGGAGAACAAGATTAACTCAGAGCATATCTTCCATGATACAAAGACAATATTGCTAATGTTTCACTCAAACAAGGTTGGAAAATAGAAGGCAATTGCATGACTCCTGAGCTGAAGACTGTTGTGGAGGATGTTAATAGAATTTCAGTTTTTAAGGCAATCTCCTCCTGCACTACCAGCAAAACTAACCTGGCAGGGTTAACCAAAGAACAGGCATAGACAAAGTTTGGCAGAGGGGTAGTGCTGGTTATTTTTTATGAAGCCATCTGTGCTACCTGAGGCCCAGTGCCTCCTCTTTGCATCTCCATTGATAAAAGGGGGGTTAATAGAAATTTTGGCTGTCAGATTGATCATCAGCAGGCACCTAGAGGTGTGAATCTGGTATCTCATGGTGTATGTGACATGCTTGCTGCCATCAGTAATGAAATGCTAAACGGATAGTTGGTCATCTGGCCTGAGGAACCAAAGATGACCTCTTTGGCGATCACTGAGTGCAGAACCCGAGTTATTCAATACAGCAGCCATGGAGGTTCTTTGTTCTTAGCTTTATTCTTATGCTATTACGTGCAAAGGAGCAAAACAGATCAAAGCAGTGAGGTATTTGAGGATGTGCTTATGGTGCCCACACAGAATATGTGTTGAAAACTCCTCCAGATGGCTTGAGAGGGTGGTATTTGGACAGTTATACGATTGAAACCTCCTTTTAAGACTGTAGACTGGATCAGTCAGTAGTCCACTTACAATTATCTAACAGGTATTTCCAATGTTAATTGGCACTGAACAGAACCTTCAGTGGGATTGAACAGCTCCATCCATGAGCAATATGCTGTATTGCTGCACTGGTTGTTGTGCTGTTCTGAAGCACATTTGGTATATCTCTATATGTGATTAATTTTCTCTAGTCCCAGCCATCTACCACTGACATTATAAGTCAGGAATTTTATTCTCAACCAAGAGGGGATTAATGTGAACACCTCCCATCACATAACACAGCTATAAAATGTGTGAGGTGGCAAAATGTGAAACAGGCAGACAGGTTTATGCCACATAAGACATTACCCATTCATGAGTTGGTATGTTTAGAGCTTGCCCAGTATAACCACTTTGCTCCTGAAGTTTGAGCTCAGATGGATGCACTGGAGCTGGGACTGGTCTCTGATTTCGTGCCGGAGAAGAAAGTGCTTCCACTGCTATTGCATAGGAAAGGCTGTAGCCCTGTTTTCAGTTGTGTTTCTTTCTTTTTTTTCTTTTCTTTTTTTTATTAATTTCTGCCTCTTGCTGTTGTAAAGGTTGGAGAAATAAAAGCCCACGCAGCGGAGTGGAAAGCAAACATGACGGCTGAGTTCAGAGAGACACGGAGGCGGCTGAGTGTGGAGATCCATGACAAACTTCAGCGGGCAGCCACCATCCGGAGCATGGAGCGCAGGCGCCTGGGCCTGGACCAGCGAGCCCACTCTTTAGACATGCTCTCTCCAGAGAAGCGCTCTGTCTTTACTGCCTTGGAAGCAGGGCGCTTCAAAGCCTCATCTCAGGAAAGCATCAATAACAGACCTAACAACCTGCGCCTTAAAGGGTCAGATCAGCTCAACAAGCATGGGCAGGGAGCATCTGAGGACAACATCATTAACAAGTTTGGATCATCTGCTAAAATGAGCAAAAGGAAAAACAAAGACCTCAAAAAGACCATCCCTGAGGATGTGCATAAAATTTATGAGACCTTCCGAAACTACTCCTTGGATGAAGAAAAAAAGGAAGAGGAGACAGAGAAGATGTGTAATTCTGAGAACTCTTCTAGCACTGCAGTCCTGACCAACTGCATCCAGCAGCACTCAGACCTGGAGAATGGAGTGATCCCCAATGAAACCAAAGAAAGGGAACATGAAAACAAAGTGTTACTTGAAGACAGAAATTAAATGTAAAAGATGCTTGACTTGAATTAACAATGTTAGTGGTTTTATATACATATATATATTGAGACACGTGCCTTATACAAACTCCTTGTTCAGTCTGAATTATATAGCATCAAAGAATATTTCACTGTGCCATAAAGACTCAAGCTTGCTCTGCCAAAACAAATCAGGAACACAGCACTGCAGAATGGCAACAGAAAGCTACGCACATGGAAATTTCAGCCTGTATAAAATTACCAGGGTAAGACACAAATGAAGGGATAGAACCATGGCAATATCACCAGAGTGCTCCTGCCATGGTATACTATTAGACAAAGGGCAGCTACGTAAGAAGAGCCTTTCAAAAGAATGAAAAAGTGTATCTTTCTAATGGAGTATACATCCATAAAACCTTCCCCTGGTGATTGAAAAGAGGAGAAATGATTGGAGTGAACTAGAAACTCTCAGTAAGGTTTAGTTTACGTTTTGGCACGTGATCCAAGCTAGATTTCTAGATTTACTTTTCTTTTTTTCCATTTTTGAAACAGATGCATTATCTTTCTAAACTCCAAAAGAATGTCCATGGACACAGCACCAGCTTGGTGCTGGTTTGAAAAATCAACACAGACACCTTTAAGGGTCGGATTGCTCTTTTCATTAACAACCAACAAACAAAAAACCCCAAACAACTCTGTGGGTATTTCTCATAACCACTGACAGAAAAAAAAAAAAAGGAAAGGAAACAAATGTAATTCTTTTTTCTCATGTAGGAAATATTCAATGTAATGTCACAGCAGGAAAGTTCATATGAAGAAAGTGCAACATCTTGTGCTATGTTGTTTAAAAGAAGAGAAACATTAATGATATTTGGCTAGGTGTAAAAAACAGTGGTTCTTTTTTTTAAGAAGAATTTCTCATTCATACGTTCTACCACTGAAAAAAACCCTTCAATTTTAATGCTGTAAGACTATGAAGGCAGAAGGAAAGCTCTAGCTTTTGCATGTCAGCAAACTGCTGTTCCCTGTAGCTGAATCTGAATTTTTAAAAACAGACATTAAGCATATACGCTATCCACATGAGGGCCAGGGCAACTATAGAATCTCAGGGCTCTCTGCCCCTTTTGCTGGGCTTGGATTTAGACATAAGCTGAGTCATAATCTCAGAAAATAAAAAAAGGGAACAAGAAAAAAGAAGTTTAGGAAAAGATGTTGAGAAGAATACAGTGGTAATCTTTTAAGTGCTCATAGCTTTAAGTGCCATTAATGCTGTCATATTTTGTAACTTTTTAAACAAGTATTTTGAATTGTTTTATTTCCTTTCAGGTACTATCTTTGTTTGACATTTGCTATCTCTTTTCTTATAAAATCTAAACATGTGCTCCCTGCATTTCTAGACTAAAATGAAATGTAACCAAACTGTGGCATTTAAAAAAAAACTGGACTGATGAATATAAGAAATGCAAATGTCCCTAGACTTCACGGTAAATACTCAAAGAAAAGCCTGCAAAGTAATTAATGTGAATTGCAAAACACACTTCAGTAGCCTCAGCCTGTCGGCTACTATGTTTACCATTGCAGATAGAAGACTTTGCATGCTGGAGATGAGATACACGTTTGTACCAATAATGCTCTCCCTGCGCCTTCACAAAATCCTAAATATTCCTGCAATTCAAATTGTAGGCTTAAAAATAAAGTAAACTTGGATGCAGATGTCAGAGACAAACCAATCCTTACAAACTAGTCAAACATACAGGCACTTGTAGGTTATACAGATACAGACTTTTGGAATCGCCTGCCCATGTCTATGTACACAAAAATGCATGCTTCATTTTCTGCGTTAGTGTCTGAGATTTTGTGCACAATGAGCCAACTCAAAATCTAACTAGTCACCAGGATACGTGATTGCCATGGCTATGAAGAGAAGCATGGCTACCACGCAAATGCAAATTTTGAGTATACGTATTTGCAAATCTAATTGACTTTTAATTATTAGTAGAAGTGAGCCAAATTCTACTAGTGCAGTGGAAGAAAGAAGTTCTTAGTATGTTCTGTCTGCTGGTTCACTTCCCTTGAAATATCATCTTTCTAATTTCATGATCTGTCTGAAAATTAAGGATGAAAAAACAAGGTCTGAAAAAACTCAGGTCATTTGGGATTGATTTAACTCAATAAAATCCAACAGAAATTGAATTCTGCTTAGTTCACCAATGAATTTCTTAAGGTGAGGTGCTGCACTCTGGCTTTAGCTTACTTGAGGCAGGGCAGTAAGTCCAGTCCCCAGGGAAGGTTTCATCTGACTCAAGAGCTGCTGCAGGTCCTGAAAATTTTTGTGCCATGCAGCCCTGTGGCTTCACAATGATGCAGATGGCAGCTTGTGACCATTCTCAGATCCTACCTCCACATTCTGTTCTCCTCAAGCCACAGACAGACACTAGCAGATCTGTTCAAGAACTGGAGTCCTTTAGCCCTCCTGTTGTTCCTGGTTTTGGGTAGGCCTGGGATGAAGTTCAGCCTAGTGCCCTGTGAGTAAATCTTCTGAAGTCCTTCCCAGAAATACAGTGAATCATCTTGTGCTAACTCTATAGTACCAGGATGGTTGTAGTATATTTGGATGTACTCGTATGAAGGATCAGGTGCACAAAAGTATCTCGTGTGACTTGAGAAGCATGCAATACTCATAGACTGTGCTAACAATTCTCCTTACTAAATGCCAAAACTAACATCAGGCATCTGGTGTTATTTGTTCCTCAACTGAGTTCTTCTCACAAGAAATGTTTGCCTGTAATGGAGAAGTCCTGCAGAGATGCACAGGCAGCGTTAAAGATATTTCCTGTATGTGAAATATAAGGCATAGTTATAGCCAGAGCATTTCTGCTGATGAGGGCCAGGGAAAGCAAAGTCTGTCTTGTAGGACTTCTTTGTGTGAGCAGGGAGATGGATAGTGGGCGAAACATGGAAAAAGGTCAACATGGACAGTGATTGAGAAGGCAAGGTTTGGTAGCCAACTTCAAAACTGTTTGCTCTGATGGTATATGACAATGAAAGCTTAGCATATTTTTATCTCTAAACTTTCTGAGTTCTAAGTCTGATTCTGTCCAGATTCTGTCTGATGATGTGTGTGCCTCACTCCAGTCTCTGCCTGTCCGTGCCACGTGAGAGCTACATTTTCTCATCTGTGTCTTCAGCAGCACCTGGTTTGGGATATGATAGTTTCAGGGAAAAAGGGTATCGCTGAATAAACTGTCAGAGAGATACTGAACAGAGCATTTGATGACCTTTTACATGAAAGCAAAATACTCTCTTTCATTCCTTTCCAGTTCTATGTCTGTGAAACTTGCTAAGAAAGCTGCCAGTCTGCTACTGGAGTAAATACTTTCTTCTGTATGATTGCCTATTAAATACCTCAATACACATACTTTTATTATAATATGGGAAGTGCAAATGGTGTCTTGCAAAGGGGGCTAATCAGAAATACCTGACAACTAAAATGACATTTTAATGTCCTAAATGTCTTCTCCCCTTGTAAAGGCCATCCCTTGGTTTTAGTTTTATGCAACAGCTTGAGAGAGAAACTCAGTTCAAGCATGAATTGTCTTTATGGCTGCAGTTCTCATCCTTTGGCATTTACTAATGCTTATAAAAACTTGTGATGCTATGTGTAGTGGGGCTGTTCCACCATTATTGAACGTTTCAGAAAATGGTAGTCTCAACCAAATCCAACGGTTCTAAATTACTCTTTCACAGCAGCCTGAATACAGAAAGCCAAACAAAAGGGTGACTTGGTGACTTTAACTCTCAGATTCTGCCTTGAGCACAACATGGCTTGACAGGGGAATTGGGACCTGAAAGAACAAAGGAAACATGGAATGTCTGTAGCCACAGCCCTCACACACAGAGGACAATTCAGCTTCTCTTCTCCTACAGCTTTCAGCTCTGCAGGCCCACTTTCTTCTGTCTTGTGCAGGAGAATGCTGGCATGCTACTTTGGGGATCCTCCTGAACCACCACAGAACGTGTGCAGATTTTGCATGAGTGGTTTTGAAAAGATTTGTATCTTCATCCATATGGCAGTCTCTGAATTTCATTATCCTTTAATAGGGAACATTATTTCTAATAAATGTTATTAGAAATAACAGGAAATAAACCCCCCAGTGATTTATAATCATGAAATCTGATTTTGGTCATTGCTATGAAATTATAAATGACCTGAGCTTCTGCTGTCTGGCTTTATGATGTCTCTAGTAGAAGTCTGCTTCTTCCAAAGCCATTAATGAGCTATGACAGATTTTCTACAAAATTTTCTAACCTACAATAAAATATGTCTGTGAGTTCAGGGTGTTAAAAACCCTGTCCTTAAACCCCCTGCATTTTCCTGGAGAGTTTGTGTTTATGCTGTAAATGGGGGTTTGTTTGCCAGCTTTGGTTTTCTCAGGGGTGTATTTGTGTTGTCAGGTTGTGTAATGCCTGCTAGTCTCACTTTTCATATCATCCACTAAAAATAAATAACAGGCAAAAACCAAGCTTCATGTTATGCTGCCTACTAACATAGAACAAGAGTCTTCTACTAAATAGGTGTGAATTTGAAAGGTGATTGGGAGCTGTTTCAGTCCTTCTTGTACATTTATTTGTTCCGAACTATGTTTTGTTTAAGGCCAAACTCTGTCCCCACCAAATCAGCGCAGTAAAGTGGAGCTAGCTTGTTATTTCTAAGCTTTTTAGAGCAAAAACCTGCTGTTTTGACTCATCTCTATAGTGCCATTTACACTTACTGGGATGTCATCGTATCAGTGCTAAATACAGGTTAGGCCAGCCTTAGAAACAGTTTCCTAGCAATTAAACATCAGTGATAACACAAAGCAAATCAACACAAATCTATGAAACTCAAATAAAGGCTTGCAGATTAATGTATGAAACTAGTTACCTGAAATACAGCATCAAAAAAATGCAGATCTGAAATTTCCTTTAGGTTGCCTAATTCTTCCCAAAGTCTCCAATTCCTTTACTATCAGTGGCAATTACTCTCCTCAGTACCATTGCTGAGCTGGACC